GGCTCGGGTCAGCACACAGCACAGCATAGCGCCAGGCGAGGCGCCTGTGTGGTTTGGTTTGTACTTTTCGTAGCGATTCGCTCAGTTCGGATTTGGTCTCGCGCCCGAACAATACGCGGCCCCGTCATCTTGTCATCTCACCAACCTCGAGATTGCGGCTTCGTTCTGTGTCTGTCGGTCAGATTCTGTTCCGTCTTATCGGAAGAATTCGAGAGGCCACGACGATGTGAGAAGAGATTGACATTGGACTCATCATCGACGACGATATGGTAGAGCCGTAAACGACACCAACGAGGGGAAATTGACGATAGAATGGGCGGGTAAACAGGTCTTAGTCTCTATCTGTGCTGTAGGCGAAGACAAGGGCCCGGAGAAAAAAGTCAAAAAAGTTCTCTCAACAAGCGTGCGTCGTCGAGTCGTCGTCAGCAACATTTCGAAACGGCGACATCGCGCCATTGCTTGTGGTTGGGCGACAGGCGGCAGAACAAGCGGTCGCTGTTCTGGCGAGTGACGAGCTTGCGAATCCACGTTGAATTCCACAGCGCTCCGGGGGTTCACCAAAAGAAGCCAAAAGGCGCAGAAAACGAGGGAAATGGGGGCCATCAGGAGCGAATCACCGCGAGCGAATGGTCGAGTACTCGTCGACGACTGAGCCGAAAAGGGCAGTTGGCGTGCGTCATCCTCAGGCCGCAGACGTGTACGAAGTACATTCAACATGGTGAGTGTGCATTGGTGCAGGAAGGTACCTGACATTTCGTAAATTCGTGCATTCCCACCCACCTCCGAACAGGATTGTACCTGCCGTGCCGTTGTCCACTGGTCTGGTCCTGACCCCGAAGTTCCTTCCTCTGCCTGCCTGCGCTTGCTGGTACGAATGCTCGCTGTACACTAGGGGAAGGGAAGGAACGGACGAGTGAGAAAGAGCGAGAGGGAAGGAACACCACTGCCTGCCTTCTCACCCGACGAGAAGGTGCAGCCCGTCAGCCAAGGACGCCCGGCCCAGTCTCTCTCATCTCCCCGCGCTAATCCCAATCAGGACACGTCGTCCATCGGCTTACGCGTCCCTCTTTCCCTCCCATCAGCGCCCCGGTCGTCTCTCTCTTTCCCTCCGTCTTCCCTCTTGCGCTTTCTGCTCAGTGCTCTCCTTCCCTCTCACCTCAATCCCGTCTTTTCACTCCCCTCCCGAAGTACCAAAGTACCAAAGTACCCCATCCTCGCTCTTGCTCGCCCGTCCTGGGACTCCTGGTCCTTTCCTTCCTCAACTCCCCCCCCCCAGCGTCCACCCCCCCTGCTCAGCCCGCCCAGAATCCGCTTGGCCCGCCTTCCTCCCCCTGCTGCTCCGAGGACCAGGCACCCAAATCATTCAAGAAACGGAGTCCCCGTGCTCAATCCCTCTTGTTACGCTTCCCATACATCCACTGCCCAGACCCCCCCCGTAAACTACTCGCCTATCTCAACACTCTTCTTGCCCTCTTTTCCTCTTTTTCCCTCCCACCTTTCGAACCCTCTTTCTTTCCAACTCCAATCAAACCAAACCACCAAACGAAACATCCATCTGAGGCGTTGCCATCCATCGTCACGAGCCTCATTCACCGAACCGAGTACTCTACATCGATCACTAACCTCGTCGTCTACGGGGTCTAACAATCACTACAACGGTTCGCCACAGACCGGTGCGAACCCGAATCCACTACAAACCCATATCTAAATCGATACCCAAAGGGATCGAACCCTTCTTCGACGGCAATGACGACCTCGAATCAGAACGTCGATAACATCGACGCCCTCCTCGACTTCAGCGAGTACGACAACATGTCTTACCAGTCTCCCTCGCTCTCTCCTGCCGCTACCGCAAAGAACACCTTCACTCGCCCATCAGTCAGCACCGTCGCGACCCCGACGATGCCTTCAGCATCACAACCTCTCTCTGGTCCTAGTCACCAGTATGATCTCTACAAGCAGCAGACCGGCATCGTCCCCGGTGCTCTTGCGAGCACACTGGCCGTCAACGAGGCCAACTCTCACATCAGCGGCTACAACAGCGGTTATGGAATGGACTACTTGGGCAACGGCTTGAGCCCGGAGAACGACATGTTTGACTTCAACACCTCTCCTTCCCAAAACTCTACTGGTTTGGATATGGACATGGAGTTCGAGTCCCCTCCGGACTCCCAGTACTTCTTCCCCAACACCACTGTCAACCCCACCACTATCGGCGGACAGGAGTCTCCCGTTGTCCCCTCCCAGCAAAACAACGTCGGCAGACTGTGGCCCGGCATGCACTCCCAGGCTGCGCTCGCCAAGGCCCAGGCCCAGCAGAGGCAACAGCAGCAAATCATTCAGCAGCAGCAGCAGCGCCAGCAAATGGGCCAGAAGCAGCGTACCAAGAGCCAGCAGCCTACCGACCCCATTGTCGAGCAGAAGATTACCCAGCTCCTCAACTCCATGCGTGCTAAGCCCGCTCAAGAGGGCGACAGCCCCTCTCCTCTCATGAACCTGCCTAGATGCAAGAAGGACGAGGAGGATATGGATGAGGACGAGAGACTGCTCGCCAGTGAGGAGGGCAAGAAGCTCAGCAGCAAGGAGCGTCGCCAACTCCGCAACAAGGTTTCCGCCCGCGCCTTCCGTTCCCGCCGAAAGGGTAAGCTCCACTTCCACCGCGCCACGTAATTCACTTGCTAACTCGTAGCAGAATACATCACCCAGCTTGAGGCCGAGATTGCCAACAAAGTTTCCGAGAACGGCGAGCTTCGCCAGCACAACCGTTCGCTTCAAGACGAGAACAAGCGCCTTCAGGATCTTACCCGCATGCTCCTTGCTTCTCCCTCTTTCTCCAACTTCCTTGACCACCTGAGCACCAACCCCCAGGCCGCCCTCCAGCAGCAGCAAGCTCCCGCCGTCAAGGTTGAGAGACAAACCGAGCAGCGTCAGATTCCCAAGGACATCAACCCCTACGCCAACCAGACCCAGCAGCAGCAGATCGGCGTGGCCATTCTCCCTGAGCAGAACATGGACTTCTCCATGTTGAACATTGACAACGACGCCTACAACTTCCAACCCCAGGTTTTCGCTGTTCTCGAGACTCCCGATATTCCCGTCACTATTGACACCAACGTCCTCTCCGGAAAGTCCTCCAACTTCGTTGGCGACCACTTCGAGTCTGATAATGAGAAGATCGAGCTCCCCACCATTGAGGCTCCCAAGGTCCTGGCTCCCGAGGTTCAGTCTCAGGCTCCTGCCACCGAGGAGGTCTTTGATGACGAGTTCGAGAACGACCCTGAGTTCGCTCTGTACCACTCCGCCCCTGCCCCTGCTACCGAATCTCCTGTCGAACTGGACACCGAAGCCTTCTCGCACACTGAGATCTTCGGTGGCGTTGAAGCCGAGAAGGTCCTTGCCCGCTACGAACTCGTCGACGCATCAGAAGATGAACAAAAGGCATGCGTCGCCATGGCCAAGGTGCAACGCATCGACGCTGCGCTGCAACCAGTCCTCGCAAGATTGGAGTCGCTCTTCCTCTAAACACCACATTCTCTACTACACTTTCTTTTAGCACCTTATTATGGGCATTAAGTTCGCTACACCATTTCCTGTGCATACTAGCTTGATATCTGGGACATGGCGTTGGGTTTGACTGGGAATCAACTACACCCCAACCGGGACGGCATCTAGTTTCTTATTTTATTTCGAGAGTGTTGCGGTGGATGAAAAGAATTCTATAGGAACCAAGCAGGTTCGGCATGATTGATGAATGTTAACATTGGCGAGTAAGAGGTGGGATTACGGCTGGCCATGGCCATCGTGTACTAGATAGATTGGGCGCTCCCGCAACTCGATCTGAAGAATACAAAAGAATTCTCAAACTTCATCTATACCAACATTTCCCTCCATGTGCTTGATTGTCTCGTACCAAGTTCGTGATGTTTGTTCTGCTTGTCTCCTCATCCCCTCACATCGCAGTGATGAATTATGGGCCTGCCATCCAAGGTGAGGCACGAAACGTCGCGTGCGTTTCTCAGGAATCTGCTCACCCCGTGCATCTATGCCGTGTGTTCGCTCTCCCTCCAGCCATGGGTTTTCCGTGAGCACGTCCCCGAATCTCTTCAGCCGACCGCCTGTCTGTCACCGTCTCGTCTTTCGAAACAGCTTGGCTTCGGCTCGGTACAGGTTTTTTTCCTTCCCCTGCTGGACGTGTTCTCTTGGATCTGGAGAGGACATGCCGCCGAACCGTCGAGGTCACTCCCGATGAATCCCCACCTGCCGGCGAGGATATCCGATATGGACGAATAGCATGATTGGGAGATCACTGTCATCTGGTGTCTGGATCTTCGGGTTGTTCTCTTGGGGCTATTGGTCTCCATACCCTTGTCTGTGATGTACCTACCCTTGGCTTGTAAGGGGTTGCTGGGTAGAGCGTAGGAGGAGGCCTCTGGAGGCTCTGTGGGTTGGACTTTGGGAGCTCGCACTCTGGGGCTCTGTTGTCTCCTGGCTCGGATTTTCCGACTTCAGGTGGGGTGTCAAGTTTTATGTGATGGGCACTGTTGGTCGCTACCTTGCCATGATGTTTGACTTCATGATGTCTCAGTGGTTGATCTCGTTGCTCCTGGCTTGCTATTTCTTGTCGTCGGATCAGTGTCTCATGTTGTCATTAGAGAGGATTGGCAGAGTTGAGATGGCAAGTCTGGGCGGGAATGGAGTGCTTTCAAGGTTCGTTGCTTGCCAAGAGGTGATATCACGTCTCTACTAGGTAGAAGTCTCGTGTAAGAGCCGACGGCCGGTCGCTGAGTGTCAAGATTTCGGCCCCGGACGGTGATGGAACTCCGCTATTATGGTGTGACCCTTTCTACCTGGCTGAGCAGGGAAATGGCCGTGGACGATGATTGCAAATACGATGTATTCATTACCACATTAGACAACATCGAACGCTACATCGCACCTCGGGCATAGTACATGGCACACCAACTCCACTCTCATCAGATAACTCAAGTTCAACATCGCCATCACAAATCCTCCCAGTCCTCCCTGATCATCTCCGCCCCCTTCTCCCCAATCATATACACCGATCCCACAATGTTAACATCAGGCAAGATGGGAATAACACTGCAATCCACGACCCGCAACCCATCGATACCGTACACCCTCAGCCGCGGGTCTACGACGCCTCCCTTGTCTTCGGGCAGCATCTGGTTCGTGCCGGAGGCGTGCCAGTTGGGGATCGTGTTGGCGCGGACGTAGGCCAGCACGGCGTCCTCGTCGTCTTCCGAGACGCCGGCGCCGGGGGAGACTTCGCCGTGGGAGGGGCCGACGGTGTATTCTGACATGCGCGGGTGGGCGAGAATCTTGCGGAGGTATTTGAAGGAGGCGAGGGCGATTTTGCGGTCGGCTGGGTGGGCGTAGTACTATATTGTGTGATGGTCAGCCCATCTATTCTTTGACGTTCATCACTCAAAGAAAAAAACTGAACAAGTCCGCGAAAGGGAGGTCGAGCGGCCGATAGAAGAGAACGCGGCTACTCACATTAGGATTAATCCTCGGCGTCTCAGCCATAGAGTTTGACCTCAGCGTCACATTCCCCCTCGATAGCGCCACCATGCTCGACGCCGTCAGGGAGATGTACGTCTCGTTGCCGCGAGGCGTGTAATACGGCGTCGGCCCGCTCGGGTAAAAGACGCTCTCGAACAAATACTCGACGTGGGACTGGTTCGCCAGCCCCGCGGACACGACGTCGCCCGCGCCAATGGTCTGCAGCTCGTCGGCGGACAACTTCTGGAAGGCGTTTGTAATGCCTGACGGAGCCGTGTACTCGCCCGTAGCGTTCGTGTAAAACTCGTCTTGGGCGGCGCGGAGGGATTGGTAGGTTGCTGCCATGTCTGTTGTTGAGAATTCGGGGGTCGAGAGGGCCATTATGCTGAAGACGGAGTGGTCGTTTAGGCTTGGGAGGGGTTGGTATTAGTCGTGACGGAGGAGGAATAGGGACAGGATGGGACTTACTGCTGGCCGATGTTCTCATTGATATGGACGGGTTCGATGCCGAATTCGTTGAGCTGGGAGGTTGGACCGACTCCCTTGATCGAGGTTAGTATATAATCATCTTCATCATGTCACATCCGCAACGCTTGAGAGAAACTCACAGAGACCATCAGAAGCTGAGGCGAGTTAAACGCCCCCGCGCTGACAATGACCTCCTTCTTCGCCCTCACCTCATGCACAATACCCGTAGGATGGTCCATGAAAGCAACCCCCACCGCCTTCGGCTTCTTTCCCTCCGTCCCCTGGTCAAAGTTGATCTTCCACACGGGAGCAAAGTGCAGCACATCGAGGTTCTTCCGGTCCTTGGCCTGCTTCAGGTAACTATCGTAGCTAGAGCTGCGCAGGAAGCCGGCGTCGAGGTGGCCTGTTCCCTGCTTCACGCCTGTGCTGTTGCCTGTGTTGTGGTCCTCGACGATGGGGATCTGCAGGGCCTCAGAGGCTGCCTCAATGAAGCCTACGCCCGAGGGCGGGACGTAACCTTGGAAGCCGAGTTGGAGGGGACCGTCGGCGTAGGCGGAGGGGTCATGGGTTTTGTAGGAGACGTCGAAGCCTCGGACTTGGTGGTCGGTTGGGGGGTTGAAGTGTGTGCCCTATTGCCATGTTAGTGGATCGTAACCAAGACCCGAAACTGGAACAACTGAACGTGGGCGTTACCTTTACAAAGAGAGGATAGACATCGTCCCATCCCCAACCGGGGTTCCCGACTTTGACCCAGTCATCGTACACGGAAGCGCTGCCGCGGCCGTAGTAGAAGCCATTGGTCACGCTACTGCCGCCGAGGCACCGGCCGCGGTGATAGCGTAGGATGCGGCCGTCGAGGTGTTCCTGCGGAGTGGTGTAAAAGGACCAGTCGATGGCGGTCCCGCCGAGGAACTGGTTGCCGCCAGGGGCTTTGTAGGCGGAGACGACCTCGGGGTTCGGCCCCGCTTCGAGGACAAGGACCCGCTGTTTGCCGGACTCGGAGAGGCGGTTTGCGAGGACGAGACCAGCGGTGCCGCCTTTGAAGTGGGAAGAGTGAGTTCGCCGCGTGAAATATTGAGAGTGTGTAAGAAAGTGTCTATCTTACCTCCTGCTATGATAAAATCGTACTCATCTTGAATCGTTGCGCGGTCGAGACTCTTGATTGGTGCGGCCGAGACTCCGGCGAGGAGGGACAGGAGAGTGAGAGTCAGCTGCATCGTGGGACCACCTACTTTACAACCACATGAAAATCAAGGAGCTACAAAGTATCAATTGAACCAAATTAAGGCGTATCCAACTATGACTTGATAAGCTGAGCAAGAGCGTCTTTCACCTGTCCACCATCGGGAGCAGTGGGAATACCCCAGGCCTCATATACTCTCGTCCCGCGTAGCGAAACGCACCTCATGATCGAAAAAGCTTGCGAATAAACACAATTAAGCCGGACTCAGCCCATCTTGGCTTCCGTTGAAGCAGGCATTCAAGTCTAACTTGCGCCATCATCGTGCGTCATCGCACCGCGAGGTGTCAGACCGGGCGAAGGCGAGGCGTGCCGTAGATGCTCTTGGCGAGGAAGCGAGTCGGATGGATTGGATGCGGTTTTTGTTCTTTTAGGCTTCTTTTTGGGTTTCTCTCTAGGCAAGGCACATTGGGCTTGTGGGCGAGAATGGCGGGGGGAAGCTTGGCTTTGGGGTACGCAGGTGGATGGGTGAACAGGTGACGGGCCACACAGTGTAGAAGGCTCAATCCTTGGAGTCTAGCAAGGCTTCTTCTCTTTGCAGATCAGATGTTGGAGGTGGCACAGCTTTCTAGTGAAGCGGGATTGAGAGACAGGCACAGTACAAGGTAGCACGAATCGACTGGCGCAGGATCCGAGAGCGACGTATGTCAAGACATTCCGTCGACTAGTACGAAATGCTAGCGTTATGTGCCGTTGAAGCCGTGGGTGGGGTTGGCATCCTTTCCTTGGCTCCCGCTATTCGGCTCAACGTGGAAACCCAGCTATTTACCGTATGGGCTTATACCGTCCTCGAAGTTGGCATAACCAGAGAGTGACTTGCTTTGTCTAAACCAGGGAGCCCCAGAAGTATGTACTGGCATGCAAGTGAGATGGCAATGCTACGGTATAGTAGGAAAGAGAGGGGAGAAACTTTACCAAGGAACTGAGCCAAGACAATAACATGCAGGCTGGAAGGATCCGGCCGACGTAGGTCCAGCGAGGCGTGCAGCACCCATCGACCATTAAGCTCTACCGGCCCCGAGTCCCGTGTGGTGCCCCGTCCTGTGCCCACTTTCGCCCCGCGTCCCCACGAGGAACCGGGGGTGAGATCTGGGGGCGGGTGGACATTTGCTGCCATCAATCTAATTCGACATTTCTCACCCTTGGAAGGGAAGGCAGACTCGTGCCTTTATCAATCACTCAAACACTGTTTCCTCTGATGAGTTGCTGTGGTGCAGCTTACGTTCCTGGCATCCATTCGAGGTCCGATCGAATGCTGGGTTTCGGTAGGGGGCGGGAGGCTCGGATGTGCCTGGGGGCTGCAGGCCGTGGCGCCTTGTTGATCGGCATCTATTCCGCCTCGAGCAGTGTGATGTACATGTACTTTTGTCTCACATAATCCTGCTCTTCCATTTCATTTTCGGTGGAAGCCTGCACGGCAGATGTTCAAATTGGGATGCCTTGTTGAGAGACGTTGTATGTCTTGAATCCCAATACTGTCTCGTTCTCTTGAGTGTGCGTGCATACAGTCCAATTGGACCATCGGCCAGTGCTCGGTTTCGCGATTTCCCAGGCCCGAAATTGGGGTTGATACCCAAAGTTTGCATCGATGAAGTCAGTTTAACGTCTCTTGACGGGATGAGAACTAAAGTCAGAGTTTGCTGAAGGACCAGATGCAAAGTAAGAAGCACATTCAATACGAGTATTGCAAATTGATTTCACTGCATCGCCACTCCAAGGTAGCAAGCTTCGGCGCAGATGTTGATGAGGTTAGGGGCAGATGTGGTACGTCCAACATGTTGGACCTGGTGATATCATGTCGGTAATTCATAATTGTAGTACGGAAACATAGAATCGAAGTGGTGTATTGAGAACTTGAGTGTTGGTGAAATCGGGGTGTCGTCAAATGAGTGTTGACTCAAGTTCAGGGGTAGGGGAAGGGGGATGATGTAAAGTGCTAACTCCAGAAATCGGGGGGTCCACGTATATCGAACATTGAACCGAGAGCCCCAAACAAAAACACACTCGTCAAAAGAGTGATCCAGATCGGAGCACATTATACCCTCTGCTCCCCCGTCTTCCAATCCTTGCATGTATGTATCCCGTCTTCCAATCCTTGCATGTATGTATCCCGTCTTCCAATCCTTGCATGTATGTATCCCGTCTTCCATATTTCACCCTCTCCATACCAAACAGACACATCTATGCCGGCAAACACCAGATGAGCTGTGAAGTGAGTTAGACTGAGAGTCCTTCCAACTACACATACTGTAGAACAGTGAACTCTTGACGTTCTATAACCGCAGACTACGTCAGTGAGCGACCTGGGGTACCCGCTCACTCCGTAATAAGGCCCCTGGCCATGAGGAAACCCGGAACACCCGCATCAGCGCATCAGGGCACCAAGGGACCCATACGGAATCCCCCCAGGACCACAACAACATAGTCTCTCGGCAGCAGGTCTTGAGAGAAGAATGCAACACCTAAGCTGACCCCAGTCTGCTTTGATGTTCTTCGCTAGATCTGCTGCGAAGACGAGAGACGTCATGCGCAATGGTCCCGGGGGGTCTCCGTTTGGGTCCGTCGGTGCCCCAATGCAGGGCTTCCAGGTTTCCTCATGGTCTGGGCAGGCTACTGATCGTTAGCTCGGGGGAGGAGGAGGGCTTGACATTGCTGGTGTTAGACAATGTTGAGATGTGCTGCCACACGTCTAGCAGCGTCGAGTCCTTGATCTCCGCCATCCATGTACACAGCGCCGATAATGGCCTCGATAGTGTCAGCCTTCGTCCGAGGACCGATTGCCAAGCCCTGGGATGGGTTCAGATTGAGACAGGTCAGAAAGCCGAATATGTCAAAAAGTTCCGCAAGTCGATCATTGTTTACAGCACGCTTAACTCGGGCGTCGATGTTACCTAGCATCAACATATTACTTTGGTGTTTCTAAAAAGGTTGGAAGAGACTTCATTATCAAATGCGAACTCACCTCTGTCCGTGATGTTCTGGTTGACCATCATTTCGAGAACGAAGGTCCTGATTAGGCTGTCTCCTAAGAGTGCCATGATCTTGTTACCGTCGGCGACGGAACGATCACCGGCACTTCGGACTCCAGACCCTGGGGTCTGAAGGGCCTCCCAGATCAGGTCGCGGACGTTGAAGTTATGGTCAATGATGCGCATTGCTTCATTCACCCTTTCGTCCTGGTGTGCTTGCATCGTGATGGTAGGGAGCGGTAATTTTCGGCGGTGATACGTAGTCAAAAGATATTATGAAAGGTACAAGTAGGATACGGTAGAGAGGTCGAGAAAGGTGTGAAGATGAAGCCTCGGGAGTATTTCGATGGAAGATCGCAACGTCTTATACGTTTTGGTGATTGAGTATTACTCACTACTAAGTACCTAATTTGCGGTGGCCGGGAGACCAGCCCCCATGCTGGTGAATGGTTTTCACACTTGGAAGTGGCGTGTCGGTTGAGACATCTTCTGGGGCTTCCTTCCAATGGCATCAACGATATTGCGACAAACGCCAGATGTGACTTTCTTAGGGTGATGCATGTCTTGAAGCTGTGCCCGAATCTCGCCATCCTCGGCGCAAGGCTACCTTGTTCACCGGGCAGCCCACCGTCAAATGAAGAGACAAAAATCATGACTGTATTTATGTGATATCTGTTTTAGTTCGTACTTTTACTACCTAAGGTACCTACCTATCAGTGCATGGCAACAACATGACTCCCGACAAACGTGGCTACATTCACTGGAAAATAATCAGGCAAGTTGCATTGGCTACTGTCAGGGTAGACGCTTGAATTACTATACACCAATAAGACATTATCAATCAACTACATTAAGTTGATCTTATTTCTTGGCTGGGTTGCGGGGGCCATCCACCGCCTTTTCCACCGTGCCTGCAATGCCTCCCTTGCTCGCGTCAAACTGACTTCCAATGGCGCCGTCCTTCGATAAAGGACCACCAACAGCTTCCCCTGTAAAGAAGAAGAGATCAGAATTAAAGCTATATCAGATACATCGTACATTACTTACCGATCTGGCCGATGTTACCATCAGGGTTGAACTGCTTGCCAATAGCGCCCTCGGAAGAGATGACGCTAGGCTTGGAGGGGCTGGTGTCTTTCTTTTGGCCGGCGGCTTCGGCGGCGTTATGGATGGGGTTCTGGGACGACATGGCTCTGACTCTGGATGCTGATGCAGCGAAAAGCTTGGTCTGTCTGAAGGCGATTCTGTTCATGATGGGCTGAGTAATGAAGAATGAAGAATAAGGCTCCTTTTTTCCAAGGTTCCTTGGGCGAGATCTTATACACTTGGAGTGCTTGTGCGCGTCATCTTTGGCGCACGGCATACGGTTAGCTAGAATGACGTTTCTGCGCCAGTGAAAGAATGGTGACATCATGAAGCCCCGACTAAAACATTCGAATAGTGCATGGGAAGGACCGAGTGATGGTAAATGGCATGAATCATCGCTCAATTGAGAGGGCTTCTGCCTGCCCCTTTCCGCAAACATCAGCATTCCTGCGGGTGGGCCCGTTGGAGGTTACCACTACCACATGCACCCTACATGTAGCTTCTAGAAGCTTATGACAATATGTCAACTTGTGACAGCAGAATCAAGAACTCCATATGGTGACAGCACAGCATTATGTAGGCTAAATTTGGACGCTGGTCGTGTACATGTGATAAACCACAGGTCTTTACTCGACTTAGATTAAACTGTCATTTGTGTTTAATGGCAGCAACAAGTTGAATCTACTATCTCTGAAAAAGTGCACCAACTCGGAGCGCCGAGAAAGACTTTCGGAGATGAGATTATCACGACAACTGCAATCCAGGCGTAATCAGCGAAAGATCTCTAAGAGTGGGGTTGACTGAAGCCTTTCCTGGGAGGTGCCTTGGTGAGTGGATTGACCTCAAACAAGTAAGTAAGTACCTTGCGCGGACTAGAGCAGGTATTTTTAATATACGCTCGAGAAGAAAGCATTTAGATCTAATCTCCGACCTTGTAAACTCACTGCTGGTGGCGACTATTAGCTCCCTAAGTACTAGTATTTATAAGGTCTGAGTATTAAGAGCATGCAGCCTCTTGTTTCACGTCTGCATCGCGTCAAGTGTCTCGATGTTTGACATTATTTGGAACAGGTTGTTTTGTGCTGTACTCACCTGACTGAGTATTTCTGTACTCTGTCATCCTGCTAGCCGGAGCATCATATCGTGGCCTTGTGTGATGTGGCATTTTAGCTGAGGCCGATTGAACAGTTGCGGAAATCTTATCACGATGGGTACATTAGTTGTGGTCGATATGGCTATTAACTCATGCCCGTAGACTCATTGATGCTGGTCGCTCACAAAGGTATATGGCTAGCAAGTTGCGTCTAAATAACTACACATAAGTACTAAGTCTAGAGCATGTATTATGATACGATGACAGAATAACCGCCGTCACTTGACGTAGTTATTACGTTGTCCATAAATGCCTGTAACCTTTGTCCTCATGTTATATGTGGCCATTCTCCCATGCTGTGGCCTGTGGAAGTTGGATAGGAGAGACATGTAGTGAAAGTTGAAAGTGACTCAGAGCTTCACATATAAGAAAGAGCACACTACTACTCACAATATTACATTCCTCGACGTTTCCGGTGCTATTAATCTTGATCACTCAAGTTATTTATAAAAACGGTCTCTAATCGACTACGACCGATAGAGATCCTCTTCATATACTCGACCTCTTCGAGTCACGCGCTTCGATGCTTCCCCTCGATGCTTGACTAGGTGAATCCATAGCTGCGATGTTTCTAGTTATTGTCGAATGAAAATAAGTTTAGGCTTTATATGGACTGTGACAAGGAGCTCACAAATCATCAATGCGGATTGACACATGTCTTTGACCAAGTTGGTGCCATAGTATCAGGCAGGGCTTTGTAACCAAGGTCTTTGTGCTGGAACCTATTCGCACTTGAATACTCGCGTGATTCTCTTGCTGACTGGAATGCCCGAGTATTCCTCGCAGCTGAAGGAAGGAGCGAGGTGACCGTGATTGACCTGCCTCATGAATTAAGCGAGCAACTCCAGATGAAATTGCGCCTTTTCACTTCACCTTGCTCAAGGGCTTCTTCCTCTCTTCCTTTCTAGATATTTCATGGTCGCTCTTTTCTTCCTCTGGAAAACTTCTCAACCTTCTCCTTCAACCCATTCTTCTTCATTCTTACCTTTATATCGCAACCTTTCCCTTCCCACCAATCCTTCCCACCAACCCTTCCACCTCACGCAACCGGTCGTGAGTCTTTGAACCTCAATCCCCGATCCCTTCTCCTTCAATCACCAAGTCATGATTTTCGACGACGATGACGACGAGTCACTCTTTGGCTCTCCTCTAAATTCACCGCAGCCGCAGCCTTACTTCGCAGTCAGAGACCCAACCCATCTCTGTCTGCCTGGCATGAGCTCCAGTCACTTACCGAACGCCAACCTTGCTCCTGCGCAGGCGCAGAGCACAACTTCGAAGTTACAGGTGCCTCAAGTACCTCAGCAGGTCATGGGTACCGAGGGTAACGCCTTGGACGTTCCTACCAGACCGCAGACACCAGAGCAGAGACGACTTTCACGAAACAACTCAAAGCCTTCCTCCTCTCGAACAGCCTCTACAACCCAGAGAGCTCCAATCTCTACCATCAATCCTGGAGTGCCCGTTCGCCTCATTCCAACGATGCCAGGTTCATCAGCTCTCGCATCAGAGACTCCTCTATTCGCTCCGCCAATTGCGCCAGGCTACAGTGTCTTGCCTCCTTTGCCCGCATCGCTCCTGCTACCTCCTACGCCCCCTGTTCTGAACGAGGATAGAGCACCCTCAGCCTCAGGCGAAGCATCTCCAGCCCAGAAGATGTGTAGCAAGTGCCGCAAAGTCAAGCCGCAGTCGGAGTATACTTCCATGACCCACATGGGCCTGATCAAGGAGCGAAGCCAATGCGAGCCGTGTCGCAGAAAGCGAAGAGAGTCATCGGCTCGACACAAGCTTCGCAAAGGGCAGGCAGAAACTGAGGCCGAGGATACTCAAGAGCAGGCCCAACAGCAGCAACTACCGCAGGGCGGCATGTCGCAGTGTCCTCACCATGGCTTAGATGATAACCAGTTGACTCTTTCTTCTCATCCATTGGCGTCCATCGCTGGTTCTGGACAGGCAACTCAGTCTAGCCCCATGCGCGGCGTTGCAACGAAGAGCACCATGCTTGGTTTCAGTTCTATTACGCAGCCTATGAGAGAGGCAAGTACTTTGTTCTATATGATAGTTTCTAATATTTGCTAATTGAATGATTCCAGATGGTTGCTCCTAATGCCCTGATCACAACCCAACATGATCCAATCGACTTGACGTTTCCGACCGTTCCTTCCTTTTTCGACTGGCCCGGAGCTCATGAACTTGCACAGGTAACTGCCAATGACTCCTCCAATTTGGCCCAAGTCAACATGCTAACACATCATTTCTAGGGCATCGATCTCGAAGCTGATATGGCATTCTATGGACTGCAGTCGTCGAAGCGACTCCTGTCGCCAAGCTCAGTCTTCCCAAAAGAGACTGGTATGGAAGTTGGAGTTTCCCAAATCCAAGACACCACAAGCGCTTTCTACGACATCGTGAGCGTCAAGACGCTTAAGACTCCCTTGACCAAGAATGAAGAGAACTGGCTTCTTAACCACGAGCGACAGAAGTTCAAAGAGGCTCGCCACAAGTGCCCATGGATGAAGACGCAGGACAAAACGACTCTGGAGTTGTACTGGGAGAAGAGACAGGCCTCGATTGTTCTCGGGCTTGTGGATGTGCCTGGCTCTGACCTGCAACCCATGATTGGCTATTCGTATGCTGAGGGTTCGCATCAAAGTCTGGCTGGTGCTTACCCAGATGATTACGACTGGCATTGACTTGGGCTGGACCCTTGAAGAAGATGATGGAATGGTTCAAGATGATTCTTTGTATTTCGCGGGCGTTGTCTATTGGCGAAAATGGCAGGACAAGGCATTGACAGGAATGCTTTCAGCTTAGTTCCATAGTGGACATCGAACAGCATATGTATCATACAAAGGTTCGCGAACCAGTAGCAACAGGCCCCAAGACTCCTTGCTTCGTCAACTCTTCTACGAGATTGAACAAAACAAAGTCACATCCCCGCCTTGCCACCATGTTGATGGTCACAGGCATCACTTCCTCTCGGTAAGTAATGTTGCTGTAGTAAGGCACCTGCCCAATTGGAATGGTGAAGTCTGCACTTCCGAAATAGGACGCGAGGGCAGAACCAGCTCCTCGAGTTCCAGATCCTTGAGGCAGGGCGGCACCGGGAGATTCATTCAACTCAGCCTCTCTGAAGGAGGGAAGTCCACCCGTACCGATGTCGTAGATCATGATGGACTCGGAACAGCTCTCAGTCGTGTTGAACAAGACCTCGCGATGCCAGGCGTCCGAGTCCTGACGTCTGCGGTCAAGCGCCTCAGTGTGTCCTTCGACATCTAGGGTGAAGTTCCTGAAGGCAGTTCGGAATGGTCTATCCAAAGAAGGGAAATCAGGGCTATAGTGGGCAATCAGAGGTGTGGCCACGACCTTGAGCTGTGTATAGGTCCAGATAGTGTTCAGATCGGCCAGAATGCTGTCAAGATTTCGACCGGTAACGGTCTCGACTGTTTCTGTGATGTTGACTTTCGAAACCGTCAAGTTCATGGCCTTGTTGACTTGAGCCAAAAAGCTCTGCAGGACAGCTTCGGCAGCGGTGTTTTGCAGCGGAAGGTGATCGGCGGGATAAAGAATCCGCTTCGGGAACGCCAAAGAGTCCGGAACCACAAGCTCAGGCAGCCCATTAAGGCTGCTATCTTGGTGAAGCGAAGGGTCGTACCAAAGCTTAGCGAACTTCACCCAGTCTTGGGGATCCCGTGCAAACACACCGCCCGTGTCGGCACCATAGGAGATGGGCATGACTCCATCCAATACCATGAGGCCTTGCGACGGGCGGTTTCCAAACGTACCCGAAAACGCCGCTGGCTGGCGCATAGACTGGCCAGTGTCCGATCCGATCGCAAAGTCGAGCCAGTCGTATGCCGCAATGGAGCAACCGCCGCCAGCAGACGACGCCGAGCAACTGAGATACCCATCACCGCGGGGATTTTGAGGATAGTAAACGTCGGTCCACTCCCACGCGTGAGCTGCAGACGCGAATTGGGAGGTTTGCTGCTTCCCCACGACGGTTCCGCCGAGGTCAATGATACGCTGGAAAGAAGGAGCGGTTACATTGGCCTCGGTGGTCATTTGCGTCCATGCTTTGCTTCCTAGCGTAGTCTTAAGCCCTTTGACGTCGTAGATGTCCTTGACGCCGATTCTTGCCCCAGCCAGAGACCGAGGGTCGGCCTCACTGTAGAGGCGGGATGGAACTGGGACTAAAGGGTAACCCCAGTCAGCATCGGCCAGGCTGAGGACCTTATAAGTCCCATTGGATTCGTAGATTCCGTGGACGAAGTCACTGTAGGTGTCCGTGTAGAGACGGAAGACCTTGAAGAGCGTGACTTCCTTGCCATTAGACTCTAGAAGCAAGGGGCCGGGAGGCGGCATCGACAACTCGAGTTGAGAAGAAGCTGGTAGCATGAGAACTTGCGAGCCAACGGATGCCACGAAAGCTGCTGCGGCGCCATCAAGCCTTGAAGAGCAATTGGAACTCAGAATGAGTGTCTCAAGGAAGTCCTCAGAAAATACATCGTCTTCGGCTAGGTACCGAGCAATCGTATCTTGGAGGTATTGCCCAGTGATGACTGGGCTAGTTGCGACGATATGGGTTGCCGGAGCGGTGGTTGTCTTGGGATTTGCGGCTACGAGAGCGAGTGGTGAGCCGGATGTTGCCAAGTAGCTCTTGTTGCCAAGTTGGAAGACCTGATCTAAGCCATTGATGGTGTGGGTCAAGATAAGGGAACTCCTATCGACAAGAGCGGTAGCGATGCCTGCAAGGCAGACGAAATGGAGAGCTCGAGCTGCCATCGGAAGGAAGTCGAGCATGTGGAAGTCAAAGATGCTCTGAGATGAGTTGGCTGGGAAGCTGGGTCCTGTCCATGACGGGGGGAGTGCGGCACTCTTTGGGTATAAATACTCCATGCCTTGAGTATCTACAGTACACTAGCTTCCGCGACGAGGCCGAAGGGGATATCAAAGTAGACAAAAGTTTTCATGAAGCTAATTCACTGCCAAGTGACGTTGTGAAGTTATTTCCACTGATAAGAGCATGCATGTTATCAGACCAACCTCTTCCCCGCCTACTACCTCGCTAAAACCCCGCGCCTCGGAGTGGGAGCATCTGTCCTGCTGCTTGGCAGGGAGAGAATATCTGCGTGATACATGATTTGTCGACTGAGTGTTTAACAACATCCGAACATCGGCTTTGTGACCCAGCTGCTGGAAACAATTGTCGTTGTTCGATTGAACAGGCTTATCTCACCCCGCAAAAACCATTCCGGCTCATATGGCGCGATCCACCCATGCCGAACGGAATATGCATTCCGGAGCATTTAAGTGGGCAAGATGAACAGTAGAATAACTTCAATTCTGGCGCCTTGTCCTGGCTAGAGACGTGACCGGCGACTGTAGTCCCTTTTAATCCCGTTAGCTTTATTGTAATCTAGATAAGCTCAAAATTTGGAAGATAAAGAGTCCTGGAGGATTTCGACTTTTACGTACTACGATTGCGACAAATTTGACTTAAAATTTCTGAGCGCTTTAATGATATTGAATGCATTGATGATACGGATTTGACTAAAGAAACTCTACCATGCAGACATGAGGAGGACATGGTAAAGATTGACCAGAAAGAGGCACAAGTTCAGACCGTGGAACGACATTGCGCCTATAGTCTGGCTGGCTTCGCCTTACACGTGACTGGGTTAAATGCCTTAAAGGACTCGGCCACACTGAAGCGGCACAACTTCCTGCAAAGGGGAAAAGAAATCCAGCATCTACAACGATTTCAACATGGATCGAATGCCCGCAAAGTCCAGCTCTTCTAGTGTCTCTTCCCAAAGACGATCTATCCCATCGAGTGCTGCAAGGCGACAGTACATTGGCTCCACATAACGGGCCCCCTTTTACCCCGCACCGCATCTGGTACATCCACTGCTTGAGTTGCCCCTATGATTTCCACTCCGGTACATCTACCAAATCCATCATTAGTAGTAGTAGTAGTAGTAGTAGTGGTGTTTTACATCATCAGGGACAGGTGCCCAGCTATCTATGTAACTAAGCTCCGATCAACCAGAGCGCCCTTTGGGCATATGATGTGCCGTGCCGCCATTGTAGCGTACGACAAGTCAGGCAGTCTATAATGTACACTTTTCTTCTCGTGCCTAGAGCAGTGGAGTTTAATATCTAATCCCCAGGGTCCGTTCAGTTCCAAAAAGCACGCCAGCAGGGGGTCCCTGACTCGGCAGAAGCGAATGGGTCTCTAGCAGCCCTACGCCGTCCACAGACGGCGTTGCCGCAACAAGTAACCGGCCCTCGGAGGCATATTTGCCTACGCGAGCATTTTTCTGTTTTCTTATATTTTCTTATATAGAAGATAAAGGAGGAAGGAAGAGAGAGGGGTGTGGTAAGGCCGGGGCCTCAAGGCGTCGGTGGGTGTGTGAGAGAGTTGTGAGGCGCGGGATCTCGGGCTCGCTATCTTTGCAGAGAGTGAGCCTCATAGTAGCGCGTCACACGCTCGAACTTCTCAAAGGCACCCGGGTCTCTGATCAGGGCCAAATCCATCATTACCAATACTCAATTAATGGATTCTGACGATTCTGACGGATCTGGCCGTTCCACGGGCTCGGCGAAGTCGTGTATCTTTGCCCTGCTGCCCGAGGACCTCGCCGCCGCCTGCACTGCCGACTGTACGCCGGAGCAATGTGATAATGCCACTGTTCGGCCCCGCGAGCCTCCGGAGGTTGAGCCCGGTATCCCTGGGAAGTACACGAGGATGGGCTGCCTCGAGTGCGATGTAGCTCTCTGTAACTCAGAAGATTGCTGGTACCGATTTCATACGCAGAATCTCTAGTAATTGGAAGTATCTATTATCAATTACGTTGGTTGGTTGGAAAAAGGGGCCCGAAGTGGCCCGATTGGCTGCTCCCCCGCATCTCAATGTACTGTCGCCTTGCAGCACTCGATGGGATAACCGCGCTGCCCTCAGGGGTATAGAGAAATGCAGCAAAACTGGAGCCTGTCAGCAATGTAAGGAGTGACGACCGAGAAAGATAAACTTACGGATGAATCTTCCAGCTCATAAGGAAGCATCCATGAGACTCTGTGCCTTTGTTCACAATGGCGTCGACAAAGCACGAGGCCCCGACTCGAGGAGTCCTTCCAGTTGTCGCCCCAAACACGGCAACTCCCAACTTCATGATCCCCTGAGCATCGCGGGCCAAGTTTGTGCCTTTGCACCACGCCGGATCCGCAAGGTTGATAATGACGTCGTCGGCAGAGACTTTGTCGACCAGTTTCCAGAGAAACATGTGAGCGAGCAGCTTTGACGTATTGTATGTCTCCCGGCTGTGTTTGGCAAAGACCTCGGGATCATCAAAGGATGGGAGGAGAGGATGGGCATCTCTATTGGGAAACGTAGCCGCTAATGTTAGAGCGGCATTTACGATTGTAAGACGTGTAGGGCCGCTGCTTTTCTGCCGTTTGGCCTTCAAGACAGGAAGAAGGAGCGTGGCGAGGAGCACGGTAGAAACTAGAAAGGTAATTGACCTGAATCGTTTATTCATGACCGGTGTCGGGGACTTTAGTAAAGTCCATCCGTAACACGCCGGCATTGAGAAGGGCGATGACGATATGATCCAACTCGGTGTCAATGCGGCGCACGAAATCTTGGACTGACTTGTAGGAGCACATGTCAAGTACCCAGACGTTGACGATTGCGGCTGGATAGCGCCGACGAAGCTTCTCGGCGGCTTCTTCACCACGCTCGAGTAAGCGCACAGCTAGGAACAGACGGGACAATTTGAGATCCAGCAGTTGAAGGGCGGCTTCATAGCCTAAGCCCGTATTACCGCCCGTGATGACCGCTGTCTTGCCGGAGAGACTGGTTCCTGGTGTTGGCCATTGTGGCTTCGCGCAGAATTGATTGTTGTAGAAAACTCGTCCAAAAGAGAGGCTTGAGGGTGGAAGGTCTTTAGAGCCGACCATCGTGATAGTGTAGAGTGAATGCGAGAGTAAGCTTGTTGTACTTGGCTGTGGAGATCAGCCCGGGAACTGATCTGGCTTTATGTAATTATCGACAAAAGGAACAGAACCAGAGGGTTAGGTTGACGACTCATTTGACTTTTATAGACACGATCATTCTGCCCTTACTGAAATCGGGCGTTGGACCTGACAATTCAGCGTCCTCTATGCTGACATATGTCCAGACCAGTTTGTTTGCCTATTTGGGCATGGCTTAGGAACGTCGTCTAGGAATCCTGTCAGCCAGATCAACCGAACATGTTACTAGGCCTAGATTGGCGAACAATGTGGTCTAGGCTATCCTTTGATGTTCGCCTTCGTGCGGTCATGCAACAAGTAGAAATTCGGGGACGAGAATCATGTCATTCGATCTGGACGGACACGAGTGTTTCCGTTTCGTGTGTCATTCTTTGTCACTTGGATACTTCTGTCGCGCGAAGTCTACAATGCGCAAGTACTTAAAAGTACGCAGTCAACAATCTGTGCCGGTGGGAATTCTTTCCATCAATATGAGAAACTTGGCACCCAAGCTACGTAACCGAAAGATTGTACGTTTTCGTGGACCAATCCCTTTCCTACCAGCATTCGTGCGATCGAAATGCAACCCCAAGAGTATCGGAACACACCAAAGCTCGCACTATTGTTAAAAGCTATGCTCAAACATGATCAAGCTGCTCCACCAGCCTCTCATCCTTGGCGACTGCAGCAGCAGCCCCAACAGAGTCTTGCATAGCATGAGGCACTAGCTGGTCCCCAAACAGCTCATCCATCTGCTCAAGCGTCCTACCCTTGGTCTCGGGGAAGAAGAAGATGTAGCACACCATAGCGATCAGGTTGAAAACGAAGAAGACGTAGAAGTAGCGGAATCCGATGTTGGTCAACGCCTCCGGGGAGATCTGGGCAAAGATGAGGTTGACGGTCCAGTTGGTGAAGGTGGTGATGGCGTTTCCGAGCGCTCTGACCTCGACGGGAAAGATCTCGGCAGGATACACCCAGCTGATGATGCCGAGTGGGGTATAGAACATGCTGAAGACGAAGTTCATGGCTACCATACTTCGCAGCTGGGCGGCGTTGTTCTCGTTGAGATATTGTGCCTGTACCGCGTTGACGAGCAGGGCGGCGCCGAGGCCGGCTGCGGAGACGATCAGAGGCTTGACTCTGCCGACGCGGTCGAGAAGCCACAGGCCAATGCTGCAGTAGACAATTGAAAGCGCACCACTGATGCCGATAATCATCAGCGAGGTCTGGGTATCAATGCCGAGGATCTTGTAAATTCTAGGTCCGTAATAGTTGATCACGTTGATGCCTGCGAGATGTCATTTAGCGTTAGTCCTATGCTTCACTTGCGTTCTAGCAAAGGCATGCTTACCTGAAAGAGGTCCGAAGGCCTGAACACCACATCCCAGCAAAAGTCGCTTGCGCCATGAAGGCTTGGTGATGATGGACTTCCACGAGATGTTACCGAGGGCGCGGTCAGCCAAGATGACGTCGCGAATCTCCCGGAATTCGAGATCAATGGTTTCATCGTCTAGACCGCTTCGAAGTTTGCCGAGCGATCGGCGGGCATCTTCATGTCGGTCTCGCTCCATCAGCCAGCGGGGAGACTCTTGGAGGAAGTAGATGCCGGTGACAAGGATGATACCTGGTACTGCCTGGAAGGCGAGAGGGAAACGCCCTATCCCGTCATTAGTCTACATCATGGTTTATACATAGGTACCTTTTTCGAGTACTGAAGGTACTTGGGTACTCGGGTAAAGAAAGAGATGCTTACAAGAGAAGTCAGTCTTAACAAAGGAGCATCCATATCCAAGCCACTGGGCGACCAAGAATCCCCAACTCAACATCCACTGTAGCAAGCCGGACAGGATACCGCGGTACTTGGCTTCCGACAACTCAGAGGCGTACATGGGAATCGTCGAGGTAACCATGCCGACGGCGGCACCTCCGATGAAGCGGCCGATGATCAGCATGATCATGTTTACAGCGCCAGCCTGCAGAGCAGAGCCGAGACATGAAATCACGGACCCGACGAAGATGGTGTTGCGCCGGCCGATCTTGTTGGCGAAGAGCATGTTAATGATGGTGCCGAAAATGGCGCCACCTTGAAAGGCTGAGACGATGCCGCCGGCGACGGTATCTGACGGATTGCTGAAGTACGCTTCGAACGTTTCCAGGGCGATCGTTGAGGTGATGATACCGGAATCATAGCCAAAGAGGAAACCTCCGATGGCCAGGAAGACGGCGGAGAACACCGTCGTGAGGCGACCCATGATTGTCGTTTGCAGTGAGCAATCACAACTATCACCGATCAGAAGGTACAATAAGCTTGGAAGGCTCAGACATCAGCGTCAATGTTTGGGGGCAGAAACCCGGGGGAATCATTAAGGTTAAAATACAGCTGGAGCTCAATGAGATGACCAACATCCAGTAACGAACTTGTCAGCTTCGAACACCACCGACGAGTTCCCCTGTTCATCCAATCGACGAGATCGAGGTGTCATCCAGTGGGGCTTGGCAGCATCTGAACGGGTACTGAACCTGGCCGATCGCCCCCTGAATGTGCGGTCTTTAGAATCTGGGGCCTCCGCACGACCCAAACAACCCCAGACAATGCTACATCTTTAACCCGACATCGCCGAGGTGGTTGGTGGCGTGTTGGTTCTTTCGGGCAGCCATTAGACATGCTTTGCACTACGGTCGCTGGTAACTACTGCGGATACAGATACTTGATTGAGGCCGATGATGTTCGAGGCTCAAAGCGGCCCGGTAGGTGGAGACCCTGGTCCGGAGCCGGCACGGTGGGGGTTCTACATTGAGGATGTGGCCTTCTCCTGTTTAGCTAGTTAATTGAGATGTTGAAGGTGATTTGTAGAGCTTTGAACTATTCGTGACGGAAATCTCTGCCGGATTATGTCGAGCCTCAACGAATGTTGTCAACAACGCAGCAACATGCCTCTTGAGATCTCTGCTGGACTAACCCCAAATAAATGTGTGGCACGCTCGGGAAAACCGGTCTAAAGAGCCGTTTCACGATCGGTAATTCCGAGCGAGGGGGCACCGAATCGACACCAACAAACCTCGCCAGACATTATGATTCGACGACGGTGCCTTTTACCCCACCCCGGCGAGATCTCGGTGCCAATACTCAATTTCCAAGTACCGAAGGCCGGGTCTCCACTGGCACATAGTCTACAGTCTTGGTCTCCTTGGTCAGAAGACTCCGCGTACAGAGATGCAAGGTATTGGTCAGGGGTCTACCAGGTGCTGAGCTGCTCTAGAGACTACACCCAAGGGAAGTCTGTTTCAAAGCTTCAGAGTTGCCACTCTTTTCGAGAGAACAACAGCCCGAACTTCGGTCATTTCGGTTCATTGATGACTCTACTACCCCGAGTTTATCTGACCATAACCCTCGTTTTATGAGGCACAGCATGCGGAACATGCCCGAAACAGAACATAGTCTACCCAAAAATCTCGCTTCTCTAAAGACGTGCCTCTAAAGACGTGCCGGGAACCGAAAACATCAAGGATACTAGAAGCTGCTCTCACTTCCTTTTCGACCGAAGCTGCGAGCTTACTCCGGAGTGTTAGTTCCTGCGTACCCTTCTTGGCAGTCTACTACAATGGAGGTTACACGCTGTGGCATCCACGCCTTCCACGAGACTCTGGGCATCGACGTGGATGAGATTCGCTTCTACTGGGTGCTTCGATCCGAGCTCGAACATGCTGCCCAGAGTGCCTATCGGATCGTTGTTGCCTTGCAAGCATCAGCACTCGATGGTGATTTTAGCTCTGACGTTGTCTGGGACACGGGCAAAGTCGAAAGCAATGCTCAGAGAAACATTTTATGCAAGCCAGACGGCGGCTTCAAGTCCGCGTCTTTCCACTTCTGGAAAGTAACCATCTGGGACCAGGACGGACAGTCCACGTCCAGCGGCGTCAATGAATTCTTCACGGCGTACCCGAGATCGAGCAGACTGCTGCCGCCGTATAGCATGAACCAAACCTACGTACGTCCAAACTGATACCCCCAAACATCACAGCAGACTTCCCGCCTCTTAAGATGCCCCATACCAGCCTCATCTTCCGCACATGGTTCGAAGACGGAGCAAACCGCTGGAAAGGCGTCTGGATCGGCGACAGCAGCGACAAACCCTTCTACCTCCGCAAGAACCTCCACCTCCCCCGTAAACCCACACGCGCCATTGCCTTCGCCTCCGGCCTGGGCCACTTCAACCTCTCCTGCAACGGCGCTCCCGCATCGACGCACGTCCTCGACCCAGGCTGGACAAACTACCACCGCACAGTCCAATTCGTCGCCTACGACCTCAGCGACGCGCTGACGGAGGGCGACAACGTCATTGGCGCGCACGTGGGGAACGGGTTCTACGCTGGTGACAAGGGCGGCGATGATCGCTTCTTTTGGCCCATGTATGAGGATAACACGTATGTGCGGTACGGCAACGAGCTTTGCCTCTTCGCGGAGCTGCATTTGTTTTACGAGGATGGGAGTCGTGAGACGGTGATTTCGGGACCGGATTGGAAGACGAGGAAGAGTGCTACTACGTTGGCGAATATCTATGCCTCGGAGGATAAGGATTTGCGGAAGTATCCTGCTGGATGGGACGCGCCTGGGTTCGATGATTCGGAGTGGATTGCCTCTACGCCTGTAACTGGACCTAGGGGAAAGTTGAGATATCAAAGCCAGCCGCCTGTCACGCTTCACGAGACTGTCGAGCCGGTTTCGAAGAAGACTTTGGAGAAGGGCGTCGTGACGTTCGACCTAGGGCAGAATATGTCCACCATGGTTCGCGTCCAAGTCAGCGGACCGGCTGGCGCGGAGGTCATCGTCAAGTTCTCCGAGAGCGTCGACGAGACCGGCCGCGTCCTGATGCCCGACCCCCTCTTCAAAGACTTTGAAACAAAGGTCTTTTCCAAGATCACACTCTCCGGGACAGGAGACGTCGAGATCTGGGAGCCGGACTTCAGCTTCACCAGCGCGCGATACATCCAAATTGAGGGTGTCTCCCTGCAGACAGGTGAAGGCCTCCCCGTCATCCACTCCGTTGTCGGCCGGCACATCTCCTCCGCGTCCCGAAGACTAGGCACACTCCAGACAGACAAAGCCGACGCAAACGCCCTCATCAACATGTGCTACTGGTCCTTCGTCAGTAACCTGTTTAGTTACCACACCGACTGCCCGCAAATCGAAAAATTCGGCTGGCTGGAAGTCACGCACCTCTTGGCGCCCGCGACGCAGTACATCCGCGACATTGAGGCGCTGCACTCCAAGATCCTGGACGACATTACAGACGCGCAGGAGGCGGATGGGCTCGTGCCGACGATGGCGCCTGAGATTCGGTACATGTGTGGCCCGCTCCACGATACGATTACCTGGGGCGGGGCGGTTGCGTTGATCCCGGAGATTTTGAAGCGGTATCACGGCTCGACGCATACTTTTGGAAAGTTGTATCAGCCTTGTGTCCGGTATATGGAGTATCTGCGGACAAAGGAGCGTCAAGGGGGTTTGATTGAGCATGGGTTGGGTGATTGGGGTCGAGATATCGCGTTTGGGAATCACCAGGCCAACATCGAGACGGCAATCTACTACAAGTGTCTGCGTAACGTGGAGTTGATGGCCGAGGATCTCGGCTACGCAGAAGACGAGAAGAAGTGGCGCGCGTGGGCTGACCGCATCTACGAGACCTACAACCGCCACCTCCTCGTCACCGACAAGACAGAGCACCCTTACGCATTCTATACATCCCTCGACGACCCCGCAGCCCACGACAGGACGATGATCGCCCAGGCCATGGCCCTGCAATTCGGCCTCGTACCGACAGAGCATGTAGCAGACGTGCAGCAGGCCTTCCTAGACGACGTGGCAGACTGTCGGATCCGCGCGGGTGAAATCGGGCTCAAGTGGCTCTGGAACACCTTCACGGACGTCGACCGTCCAGATATCGTCATGGCAATGGCGCGGCAGGAGGAGCACCCCTCGTACATGCGATTCCTGCGCCGCGGGGAGACGACGCTGAATGAGTTCTGGCAGGATGCGTGCCGGAGTAAGTGCCACGACATGCTGGGGACGATTTACGAGTGGTTCTATGAGGCTGTGCTTGGAATCCGGGTCGAGGAGGATGGGTATAGGACGTGGACTGTGAAGCCGCCGTTGAAGTCAGAGTTTGATTTTGTGGAGGGGACGTTTGAGTGTCCGTATGGGCTGATTGAGGTTACCTTTAAGCGTGAGGGCGAGGATGTGAGGATGAGGGTGGTTGTGCCAACGAGTACGAAGGGGACTTTGTTGTTGCCGAGAGACGAGAGCGCGGTTGTGATTAGGCGTGAGGGTGCCGAGGGGGTGGAGGGTGCGTCTGGGAAGAGGGTGACGCTGCTGCCGGGTCGGTATGATTTGGTTTTGCACCCATAGGAGAAATCAGTCTTCGATGAATGCAAGCAGGCTTATAATCATGATCAAGAATGTTGTTCATTGCGTCATCCTTGTCTTCCTGACAAGGTCTATTCAAAACACTTCAACCTCAACAGTAGCTCCTCACAACCTCGTGCCCATGTTAACGTGGACAGCCTTGATCTGACTATACGCCTCCAACCCAGCCTCGCCCAGTTCCCTCCCAATACCACTCTGCTTCACACCGCCAAACGGCACGCGGGGGTCGCTATCCTGGGTACTGTTCACCCACACCATACCCGCCTCAATCTCCGACGCAACACGGTGCGCGCGCTCGACATTCTGCGTGAAGACAGCGGCGCCAAGCCCGTACTGGCTGTTATTCGCCAGCGCAATAGCCTCCTCCTCGGTCTTGAAGCTCGCGATAACCACCACGGGCCCGAAAATCTCCTCGCCCCACACCCGCATCGACGTCGTGACGTTGGTGAAGACGGTGGGCGCGACGAAGAAGCCCTTGCCCTTGCCGCCGATGTTGAGGGGTTCTCCGCCGGCGGCAAGGGTGGCACCCTCCTTCTTGCCGATGTCGATGTACTCGAGCACGCGCTCGAACTGGACCTTGGAGACCTGGGGGCCTTGGTAGGTGTCCTTGTCCCACTGGCTGCCGACCTTGCTGGTAGCCTTGAGAGTCTCGAGGAACTTGGGAATAAATTCCTCGTAGATGGACTCCTGGACCAAGATTCTAGACGTGGCAGTGCAAATCTGGCCCTGGTTGGACATGATGCCCATATGCGACCACTTGACGGCCTGCTCGAGGTCGGCGTCACCAAACACGAGCAGGGGACTCTTGCCACCGGTCTCGAGGGTGATGTTCTTGAGCGTCTTGGCGGCCTCGCCCATGATGGCGCGGGCTGTGGCTGTGCTGCCGGTGAAGGCGACCTTATCGACAAGAGGGTGGCTGACCAGCGCGCCGCCGGCGACGCGGCCGAGGCCGTTGACAAAGTTGACGACGCCCGGGGGGAAGCCGGCTTCCTTGATGAGGGTGCCGAGGTAGAGGATGCTCAGCGGGGTTTGTTCTGCGGCCTTGAGGACGACTGTGTTACCGCAGGCGAGGGCTGGGCCGAGTTTCCAGGTTGCCATGCTTAGGGGGTAGTTCCAGGGGATGCTGGGGTTGATGTTAGTCGAGCTTCCTATAAAGGGGGTACATGTTGTCTGAACTGGACGGAGAGAGAGGTGGCTTACACTTGGGCGACGACACCAATGGGCTGACGAAGAGTGTAGGCAAACTTTTGAGGGATGCTGTTGATGGTCTGGCCGTAGGTCTTGTCGGCCCAACCGGCGTAGTAGCGGATGACGGTGACGCACTCTGAGAGGTCAATCTCCAGAGCATCGGCGTAGGTCTTGCCTGTAGTTTATGTCAGTTCACGGGCTTAAAGTGAGAGTGAAGTTGGTGAACATACCATTGTCCCATGCATCGATGGTAGCAAGAGTCTCCTTGTGCTGCTCGATCAGATCGGCGAGCTTGTACATGAGTTGACCACGATCCGTTGCTGAAATGCCCTTCCAGGACTCATGTCTCAGCGCGGTGTGTGCGGCCTTGACGGCCTTGTCAATGTCCTCGACCTCGGCAGCCTGGACGGATGCAATCTTTTCTTCGGTGCTGTGAAGTGAGATTATCAGCTTCATTGAAGTCACATGTGATAACCCTCACAGAATGTGAGGAATGAGGGGTGGAGTAGCACTCACGCAGGGTCTATCGAATCAATGACTTCGCCCTTGGCAGACTTGACAAACTCGTTGTTGATGAAGAGGCCGGTCGGCTGGGTGTACTTGACGCCATTGGGCGCCGTCAGCTCAACAGAGAAGTCGGACATTGCGGCGACGTCGTTGAGAGGGTTCGATTGACGTTGGTGAGGGGTCGATGAGAAGAAGAGACGCGCTGGTGGTTGTCTTGCGCGTGTCCTTTTCGCGTGATTGTCAAGGTGGCGCTGTCGGATCAGAGGGGTATCACAGAATCGAGACCAAGAAGAAAAAGTAGAAGTTGAGATGGGTTTGATAAGCAAAGAAGAACTGCGAGCGATGCGCAGACGAAGGGAAGGAGAGGAGAGCATCTTTTTCTACTGCTCTGTGCAATGCGCCGGCGGCCATTCGAAGGCCGACGATAGGAGCTTCCTGTCGGGTTCAATTGGCGGGGTCGTTGATGGGTGGATGGATTACAGCGAACACAGCACATCGGAGCGAGCTTCCAGTCCAATCGAAGCACGCCGTAGCTACTCCGCATTTACTTACTGCATTCGGTCCACTGGAGCATCCACTGGAGCATTAGAGCATGAAGCCCCCACGGCGCGGGGATATGACGTGCGGAACCGCTCTGCCGTCTTTCCCATCGGCGATAAGACACCTGTGCACTCGTGGAGTGGTGAAGAACCACAGAATGGCACTCACGATGCGGGGATTGAGTCGTAGGCTTTTCGGGGATGCACAAGTATATCAATCAACACCAGTATCTAAGCCGTATGCTGGCGCCGAAGGATTGGTTTTAGATTTTTTCAAACATCATGTGCCGGACAAAAGGGATTCGATTGCGGACCCTCAATACTGAAATAGGGCTGAAGAGAGGCAGTGTGCAAGGAGCCCGCTGCAAATTTCGGCTTTACCAGTTTGACCAGTTCCCCCCGTCCGATAAAGGCGATGTTCGAGAATCTTCACAGTGACGTTTCCCTTTTCGCCGACGGGTGAGCATAGGTAAGGTAGGTAGATAGCTTTCGAAAGTTCAAGATCTGTTAGTGCTTCCTTGGGGGATACAATTCTCAAGACTCTACCTACCATGGGGCGTTTACGTTTATGTAATCGCCCTCAGCATAGGTCCAGAATTAGCTAGGCCCTTGGATGCGGATACAATCGCATCTGCAAAATATGCCAGTTTTTTACCGCAAACGCACAAGCTCAACTTTGCGTGCTTGGAGGAGAAGGTGGGTCCCGTCGAACCGGGTCGGCCCCGCCCCGCCGTACCACGGCACTAGCTCCGTCCGGCCCGGTCAGGACTCAGTAGAATCACGGATGGAATGAAAACCACAATGACAACACAAAACTCACTTGGTGCGAACGACAGTAAATCGTCGCGTAACGGTAGCCTAACCAACGATATCGGCCTGTTCGGCCGCGCCCGAGCCCTTGTTATGGCGCCCGGCGGCGTGGTATATCTTCGGTACGGGACGGGCCACGGGTCCATCTCTCGGCCGCGACTCTTTTTCCACTGAGATCTCATCCACTCCACTAGAGATAGGCTCTGGATGGACTTCCATCGTGTCAATACTGTCGAGGAGGAGAGAAGGTTTATGTCCCGAATATGTGATGTAACTAAACTTGATTATGTTTCCATCAAACATATACTCATGAAGCATAAAATCTACAGCTATCCAGGAGCTATTCTAGGAATTCCAACTCTCCCGCCTGCCGAGTCTGGCCACACCAAGTCTACTCCTCGTAGATGTTGGAGTCACTGCCAAATGTTAGTCCCCAATGGTTTCTTCCGTCAGGTTATGAAGTACTCACAATTCTTCGTTGAACTTGTCTCTGCCGTCGGCATTCTTGTTGACAAAGATGCTCACCGACGTACCAGAGCAGACGAACTCGCCGAATCCGTCGTCGCCAATGGTAACCTCCTTGTCGTTCCAACCCAAAACATCGGTCCAGACCTCGCCGGCGTGCATCTCACCGACATGCATACGCTTAGATCCCGGTCCGGCATTGCTGGCCACCACGGCGCAGCCGTAGGGGCGGTCCCAGGTACCGTACTTGACCCAGCCCAGGCACGTCGCGTAGTCAAAGTAATCGGCCTGCTTGCCGTAGGCGTAGAGCTTCCTGGCAAGCGTCATCTTGGGCACGGCACCACCGCACGAAGGCGGGAAGGGGTGTTCGCCCTTGATGCCGTAGATGTCGCCGTACCAGACGCAGGGGTATCCATCGGTTCGGAGAAGGATGAGAGCGTAGGCGATAGGCTTGAACCAGCCCTCGATCGGGGCCTCCAAGGCCTGGTAGGGTTGGGTATCGTGGTTCATGACCAATGTCTGAATGCAGTTAGAGGCCGGCTTGATCAAAAGGGTAGGGATGCGGGAGAGACTTTGGTGAACGTACCACTGCGTTGATAGGCTCTTTCTGCACAAGTGTGCCGTCAAAGACCTTCCTCATGTCGGCACCGTTGCCCTTGCTGATCTCGCTAAAGTTGTAGACCAGGGGCGCGTCGAAGAGGGTGAACTGCCTGCCCATGCGCCGCAGGTACTCGGACATGTCGTCGAGACTGTCCTTCCAGAACTCGCCGACAAAGAACCAGCCCTTGCCGTACTCCTTGTCCAGCTCGGTGATGAATTGACGCAAGAAGTCCTCACTATAGTGCTTGATGGCGTCGAAACGGATTCCCTGGAGCGGCACCTCCTGAGCCAACCACTTGCCCCAGTTGAGGACGTCCTTGACAACCTCGGGGTGGTCGTAGTCGAGATCAGAACCCATCAAGAAGTCGCTGCACATGATTAGCATGGTCCATATTCCAGCCAACGGGCCATTGATCTTACTAGTTGCCCTTCTCGTCATCGACACTCTCCGCCCATTGCTGGTCGCCCTTGTCTCCCAGGATCTTGTAGATTGCCGTCTTCTCGTTCCGGGCATTGTAGTCGACACCGCTGAAATGGTACCAATGGTACTTCTGTTCGCTGTACTTGCCCTTGCGACCGGGGAAGTCGTAGCCGACCCAAGCGTCGATCTCGTACTTGTCGCTGACGAACTTCGTGCGATCGTTGGAGTCGACCTCGGCAGCAAGACACTTCTCCTTGCGGTCGGCCGCGAACTTGTGGTTCAGGACGGCGTCCCAGTAGATGCCGACACCATTGTCCTTGGCGGTGTGCGCCAGCTTCAGAAGCTCTTCTTTAGTACCCCACTTCGTCGCGACGGAGCCTTTTTGGTCAAACTCGCCCAAATCGTAGCTTTGGGGATTATTAGTAAGATGCGCCGGCGCGTCAAGGAAAAGA